TTTCTGAACCTAAAGCCTCATATCACGATCATTATATTTTTGTTTGATCCTTTATTGTATAATAATATGTGATTTATTCTTTTTATATTAAAATATTTGAATTTTTTTGTCATTTTTGCTTAGATATTTGAGTGTGTTTATAATTTTTTAATATAAATTATAAAATTGCATATAATTATCGGGTCATGCGGTTGAATCAGTAACCCACTGGTTGAACCAGTGACCCAGTACCTCGACCGGGTTAATGACCGGGTCGATTTTAATAACATTGCTTAAAAGAATTTCATAGTCGTTAGCAAAATTGTAAAATGATATTTTTTTTTTTTTTTAAAAAATACTAAAATGATATCTTAACTACTGTCTATATAGTCATAAAAATGTAATTATTATTTGCAAATAATTTATTTTTATTTACCATCAATTGTTTGGTTTTTGTCACTTATTAAAAGAGATAAGGTTCCTTTGAACTGAATTTGTTTTTAAAGTTTGTGATTGAAGATGTATTGTAATCTTAATCTATTTAAAGATATATGTACTCTTATTTGCTTATTTTATAGACAAAATCACTTTAAAATATTTTAAAAAAATGCAACTTTAATTATTGTTGTTGAGAAAGTCAAACTTTTCTAATATTGTGGCAATAAATGTGAGTAATATTATAAAAATTTAATACTATCAGTATATTAAAATTAAATTCGTACAATAAAAACTTGTCATATTGCTATGTGGCAGAATTTTCGACTATGGCATTCTGTTGGATAGATTTTTATCAGTCAGTACAAATAAAGAATTTATCGATTTAAGTCGGAATCAGAGAATAAGACAGGCATGATAGTTCAAACAAGTATAAAGAAATATCTTCTTTGACAACAAAGGTAGGCACAGTTGGCTAAGGATTTGGTCCATACCCCTCAAGAGCGTGGGTTCAAACTCCGCTGGCCGATGTGAGGACTTTGTTGATGGGTGATATGTAATCCCTCCCAGAAATCCTCAAAGAGGTTGGGGGGTCTTTCCTGACCCTAGTGGAATACCGGTGTCTAACCCCACTTAAACTTTCATTTACAAAAAAAAGAAAAGAAAAGAAATATCTTCTTAAACACAATCCATGTTACGTCATGCTCAAAGTTAGAAATAAAAATGAATTTCTACACAAAGTATCACATTATTTTATAATAATTATTATTATAATCTTCAACATATATAAAGTTTTAACACAAAGTAAATTACATTCCATTCTCAGATATAAGCTACTTGGTTATGTAGTTATTTAATGAACCTATATATCTTTAATGATCTAAAATTCCTAAATTTGCGGCAAGAACATCTTTGGTTATTAATAAAATTCACTTGCTTACCTATTATCCCACCAGCCAATTAAGGATATGATCTCATGCCATGCCAGCCTGTGATAATAAACCATGGTGTGGTGCCAAACATATTTTAATGTTTAGAGTTCTGACTCTGGTAATGTGAAGTCATTTATTTATTTAAATGCAAAACATTAGGATGGATGGGTAATAAGGACTAAGGAGAGAGAGCAAATTGGTCAAGGGTAGCAAACTAGCAAAAGTTATGAAATGTTGCACCCAAATCAAGAAAAACACAATGCTGGTTGGTTCACATGAGTGAAAAAAAGGAAAGGGGCACTATGTTAAATCAATCACAACATTGCATGTGCATGTGGGTTTACCATCCTTAGATTAGATTGATCCTTTCTTGCTTGTTGCTTCCACTTTTTTCTTAGTCTGCCACCATGTGAAACTTTTCAGAATCCACTCACTTGGTTGTGGTGGTGGTGGAGAATTAAAACTCTTCAACTTTTTCCTTTTTTTCCTTTTTGGAAGCCATTGATGCATACTGCTAAACACGCCTTGTTCCTGATCCGGTGTTATCGTAGCATATGGCCCTAGTGACCTGGTCACATGAACAATTGCCTCACCTTTGTACCATTTTATTCTTTTTTTTTTCTTCCCCCCTACAAATTTACACAAGTGACAAAAAATAAAAACCTAAAAAACTTAATAAAGGACATGAACAACATTAATGTTAAGTTGTAAAAGTATTCATCATTAAAGAGCTGATAAGTTGTAAATCTAAATTCCGTGTTAACGAAAACATATCATAATGTTACATGAACAATATTTAATGAAGAAAAAAAAGAAGAGAAACAATCTATCTATATTCTATATTTATTTTTTATATAATAAAATTGCCTTGGGAGGAAATGAATGTTACCAATAATTATTAAATGAATTTAGTGTTTCTTATGTCGTAGGAGATAAAATTATCTCCTATACACATATAAGAATTTGTGGGGCTCATATGTGAGGAGAAGAGAAAAAAAAAAACATGAACCTCACACACTTTCATATATGTCTAGGAGATAATTTTATTTTATGTAACGTGAGCAATATTAAACCTTATTAAATATAATATTACTTTGAGAAGTAATAATTATACTATTAATTATTAAATGAATAAGTAATTATATTTGGTTAAAGGGATACCCACTATTGGAGTTTTTCTAATATAATAATGTGAACTCATTATTAATAAAACTAAGAAAAAGGAATTATTAACTATCGAGTGCAGTATTGCTCAGTGATAATAAAATTTCCTTAAGAAGAAATTAATGTTACTAATAACTATTAAATGCAATATTAATTTGAGAAGCAATAACAATACTAGTAGTCATTAAATCTATAAATAAATAATGGGAAAAAGTATTTAAATTAATGTTATTTTATACAATTTTATCTAATGTTCATCAAAATGACATCGTCTTGAGAGATTAAAAAATTAGAATGATAAAGACTATTATAATCATGAAATAAATTAAAATTATAAATATATAATGATTTTCATCTCAAACGACGTCATTTCGGTGAACATTAGATAAAATTGTCTAAAGTATTTTAGAAAAAATGAATCCATAAATAATTTTTTTTTTTTGGGTTAAAGGAAAAACAGTCCATTGGAGTTTTTCTAATAATAATGGGAACTTATTATTAATAGAACTAAAAAACAAATTATTAACTTTCGAGTGCAATATTGCTTTGTGAAGCAATCATTGCACTTTTAATTATCGGATTTATGAATAAATAATGTTTGCCAGAATAATCCCGGTAATAATTTGAACTCATTATTAAAAAAATCATAAAAAGAACAAGAAAGGGAAAAATAAATTTTCGTAATAAAAAATGTTTTTACATCATAAAAATCACTTAACAGGTTCAAAATGGTTTTCAGTCAAAAGTTCAATTAAAAATATCTTAATTATATATTTTTTTAAAAGTTAAAACAAGTTACCCTATAGCCGTGAATTTAATTAATTATTCTAAAAGTGATACTTCAAGGAGGATTCACTATTAACCCAAATGTTACTGAAAGAAAAGTATAAAACAAGTGAATTCGATTTACCAAAAAAAAAAAAAAATGAATTCAAAGTTTTACACTCATAATATGTATTTGGAGAAAGGTTATACTTACACCCTTTTTTTTTTTACAACCTCTTACAACCATATCTTAACACCGTTGATTTCCGCCAATCAACAGTTATGATTTTCTTAAATTAAACTCATTAATTAATTATTAATTCACAATAAATGATAACCGTTGATTGGCGAAAATCAACAGTGATAAGATATGGTTGTAAGAGGTTGTAAAAAAAATGGTTGTAAGTATAACTTTCCTCATGTATTTGTCCGAAAATTAAAAATTATGATATAAAATTCAAAACAAATTGTATAATGCATAACTAGTGATTGTGGAAAGCTATTTGATTGTACTTTAGCCAATTCGCATGAAAACTATGTTATTAGGTCACAGTGGGTGAAGATCAAACTCTAAGTACAAATAAATAAATAAATAAATAAAATCTGTAATTTTACATGATTGATGATAAACTAAATGGATCACAGTGTGTTTGTAAAGATTGTGTCATGCAATTAGAGATTTCAAGCATTCACTTGTTAAGTTCGACATCTTTTCACCCATTTGAGTGATAGTATTATATGAGATTAAACATGGTTTATTATTATTATTATTTTAAATATTTCAATCGGTTCATCGCTTTTCAATTAGTCTGATTTAAAAAAGGTTCAGAATTAAGACTTTAAACTCCTTCCAAATATAATATTAAGGAGGTTTAGTATGTTTCTTAATAAGACAAAACTTGTTTATTATCTCTTTTGTGCATGGTTCATGTATAATTTTTGATTTTCAAGAGTTTAATTAGAATTAATTCTTTATATTTTAGGAATGATATCAAATATTTAAGGTTAGAAATTAAATATAATTAATTTTAATATTTTATTAATTAGAATTGATCGCTGTAATAGTTATTTTCCATTTTTTTAACATTTATAACTGATTTCAAGCATTCACTTGTTAAGTTGGACATCTTTTGACCCATTTGAGTGATAGTATGAGATGAAACATGGTTTATTATGTTTCTGTATCAGACAAAACTCATTTATTACCTCTTTTGTGCAGGGTTCGTATACATTTTTTTGATTTTGAAGAGTTTAATTAGAATTAAATATTTATATTTTAGGAATGATATAAAAGTATTTAAGGTTAGAGATTAAATATAATTAATTTTAATATTTTATTAATCAGAATTGATCAGTGTAATAATTATTTTCCTTGTTTTTGTTTTTAACATTTATAACTGTTCTATATATGTTAAGAATCTCATCTTATAAAGTAAATCAATCGATTTCAATAATAATACCTTATTCTATTATTGTTTACAATTATTACATTCAAATGATATATGGGTTAACTTGTATGTATTTCGAATAACATATATATATTCTGCTTGATTGAAGACGAATCATCCAATTGAAACTAAATTTAAAAAAAAAAGCTCATCTTAGAAGTAAGATAATATTATATAAGAGTCTTGAGGTTCAAATTTACCTAATTATATGATTATGTGAATAATTACCATTTTTATTAATAAAAAAATGGTTATTCAGAAGAGAAAAACAGGGTAGTCTTTCATTCTCATCCATAAATAGACCATTATTGACAAACATGTAATAAGGGCCTCTCATCCTTCCTCGCCACCTATTAAACCCCATATCAAAAGAAAAACAAAACAAAACGAAACGAAACAACCCATCAACTACCGAACCACCCGTCACTTCACTTTTAACCTTAACACACACTCCCTCTCCCCAATTTCCAATTTGTTTTTGTTTTTGTTTTTGTTTTTGTTTTGATTCTCTCTCACTCCTTTGCTTCCTCATTTCCCTTGTCTCTATTTTTCTCTGATAAAAGCGTAAAACAGAATCAAAAAGCTGAGGACATCCCCAAACTTTGCACACTTACAAATTCACCACCACCCGCTTTTGCAGCTCTTCCCTCAATCACCATTCACTACCACCACCACCAAAGCCTCAACTTTAAGCAATCAAAATCCAACGCTCCCCTTTTTCCATCTATCCATCAAATCCATCCCCAACCCCAACCCCAACCCCAACAACAAAAATAGAACAAACCCAAATTCCCCCATTTTGCTTCCTCCAAAAAAATCCATCCTTTCCTCATCATACCCCAATTCTCCCCATTTTCAACACCCAAACACACAAAAAAAATCCAATTTTCTCGCCCCCACCTCCCAAAAATCCCTCCTTTCTTCTAGCCCATTTCCCATTTCCCCAATCCTAGTGAAGAGAATTTGATACAAGTAAAAAAAAAAAAAGAGAGAGAAGAAAAAGAAGCTAGAGTTTCCCACCTTCAATGTGGCGAACTTGGAACAAATCAACGGTTCGGATTCACAGCGCGTCTTCATCACCTTCTTCTTCCACATTCTCTTGCTCTTCCTTCAAAGACATTCAAACCCTTTGCCTCGACGAACCCCCACAACAACCCTCACCCTCACCTTCACCCAGCAGAAAACCCTCCGTTTTCCACCGAGTCCGACTCGCCAACTCGCTCCTCCGAACCTGGTCAACTCAACTTAACCAACAAACCCACAAATTACCCAGGACCCTCTCATACCCCGAAGCCGAACCAGTATCCGATGACGCAAAACCAGACCCTTCTCCTTCTCCTTCTCCTACTCCTGCTCCGTCGCCACCGATACATTTTCCGGGGACCGAACAGCGCGTGGTGGTTTACTTCACAAGCCTGCGCGTGGTGAGGCCCACGTTCGAGGACTGCAGGAGCGTGCGCTCCATCCTTAGCGGGTTTCGGGTTCAAATCGACGAGCGAGACGTGTCCATGGACTCGGGTTTCCTGAGCGAACTGAACCGGGTCATGGGTCGGACCGGTTTGACCCTGCCCCGCGTCTTCATCGGCGGAAGGTACGTTGGTGGGGCCGAGGAAGTGAGACAGCTTAATGAGGTTGGCGAGCTCAAGAAACTCCTCGAAGGTTTGCCCGCAGCGGATCCCGGAGAGTGCCACGTGTGCGGAGATTACAGGTTCATTCTATGCGACGAGTGCAATGGTAGCAGGAAGGTCTACACCGAAAAGAGTGGGTTCAAAGCGTGTAATGCTTGCAATGAGCTAGGTCTCATAAGGTGCCCCTCTTGTTTTATTGCACCAATTTTATCATGATCAATAATATTTTTCAAGGAAATAAAAAATTTAACTATTTTTTTTTTTTTGTTTAGTTTTTTTTTTCTTTTGGATAATCAGTTTTGTAGTTTTTCTGGGCGTGTAAGAATTTGTATAGGCCCACCTTGTGGGGGATCGTAGATTGATACAATGTGTGTGAATATCTCTTTTCTCCCTCTCGAAAAAAGTTGTGTACATTTTAATTTTTAAGTCCCTTTTCAATTTATCTCTCTATGCACCCTATCCTTTTTTGTTTTTGTTTTTTGGTATGTTATTTTCATAATTTTTGGTTAATTTTTGATCATTCAAAAACAGATATTATTAATCGACGAGAAATGATCTCTGGTGTGTAAAAAATGTTGAAGTGAAAGTTTAGGTAGGATCAATGTGGTTTTGGCTATATTTTTATATTATGTTTTTGTACATGGGATCCGCACATGATTGGTGTCTTGTGAAGTAATTGGGTAGGGTTATTTTGGTGTAAAACGGTGGAGAAAACATTAGTTTTCCTTTGTTATAACTCTTTAATTACACGAACAGTGTGTATAAAGTGGTGTTAGAATGGCATAACTCTAATCAAATGTCTGAGAAACAGAACAAAAGTACAAATTCTAAATTCCAAATAGCTGTGCCTGTGCTTATAAACAATAAGGCAATCGTGCCTTGACTATGCCTGTCTCTATACAAAAAAATTCAAAAAACAACTCAACAGAATCCTCTATATAACAAAACATTAGACAGAACTACCTTCATTCTCAATATGCATGTCTTTTTCCTTTCTTGGAGTCAGTAGATTGTCTATTTCTCTAACTTGATCCAGCATCCATACTAGTCATTGTCATTTTTTGATGGTTGGGATGCAGTCAGAACATTTGCTAGAAGCAGTTTGTGTATGCTGTGTTTCACTTTAGGCTTGGGTGTGGAGTTGTTAGATTGAAACCTTCCACTATAATGTTCATTGCAAGCCCTTCTCTGGAATTTGGCATACACTATATTTATCTAGCAAACTTCCTTAATTCCCGCCTTCCACCATTTTTTACGGTGAATTTTGAATCTCTTAACCCTTTAATCTTTTCCTCTTCTGGTGAAGGAACCCATTTTAAAATTATGGCTGTCGTTGCTTAAAGCATAACCCTTTCAGTTTTAGAGTTGATTTATCATTGCTTATATGATATTTGAGGGTGGAAACGCCCCAGAAGGACCGGTCAACACCATATTTGATCCCACTTTCCTTTGTACAGAATTCTGTGTCATGTGGAAAATGGATCCATTGCAATTTTATTAGAACTACATGAAATCTAGACCATAAAAAGTATATGTTATGTTAATAATTGCAGATGGTCCATTATCTGTTTCATCATCTGCTAGTTCACACAATTATCAATGATATTGCACTCCAACTGATATTTTTATCAGGGCCAAATTTTCTTCTCATTTTTTCAATGCAGTAGTCACTTCACTTTGGGATATTCAAGAAATGCAATTAGTAACAGCTATTTATTCTTATTAATCCACCATCAATGGTTGTACTTCAAAACTTTAATATGATGGAGTGATTCCAATGAAACGGTAGCCAGCTTGGCGATAAGACTTCCCCACCAAACTTGCAATAATATCGTAGTAAGTATAACTTTCTTGAAGATGGATTATGAAGTCCTCTTCGTCGGTTGATATGCTATGCTAAGTGGTTGTACAATCTATCTAATAGAGCCAATAAGATAAAATCTATTCCGTCACGTTACAAATTTTTTTCTAGAAACTACTCATGCGATTGAAATGACTCAAATTTATCACCTGGAGTTGAATATGTGATGTAAAGCATAAATTTTAATTTGTCCCGTATCCATTATTCAGTTGGCCCAAATATTTAAAAATGGTGGTTAGTGTTGATATTTACATTTTAACCCATGTTGTAGAGGATTGATAAGACTTAGTTTTTAATTGGTAACCCATGAATTTGCTGTTGAGTCAAGATGTGATGACAAACATGGTTTGTTGCTTAATTGATTGTCTTCGTTATGAACGCATAATTTGATGGGATAGGCTTTTCCGCATGGATGTACGACTTTGTAACCATCCGTTAGCATTGAAACGAAGGTGTAATAATGGAACGAGAGGGCCCAAGAAAACATGTTCCCTCCTTTCTATTTCAAATATTGAAATTTTATCCTTTAGTATTTGGACGAGGAGTAAAGCTAATACGTTATCCTTATTCACTTAACATCGCCTATAAAAAAATTTCAAATCAAGAAAAAGTATCTTGTATACAAGGCATAGCACGTAACGTGTTTTGTGAGGAAAGAAATAAATCAAAAAGCAATAGGAGTAGAGGGGTTAATAGAATATAACATGGATTGGCTCTCAAATTCAAAGATGATATTTTCGGCTACCGTTAGCCTGTCATCCATTTAATTAAACAAATTTGAGTCAGGCCTACTAATTTTTTCATGGGCTGGGAAACAAAACTCTAAATTTAACCCTTGTGGTTACTGGGTTAAATTGAGCTATCTCAATTGCTAGTATATAAATTTAGGACTTTACTTCTCTCATGTAGTACCAGAGAAGTTATCTTATATTATGAGATAAATAAAGTGGAGCCCACCAATTTTTAAAAAAAGAAAAAAGAAAAAAAAGCACATCTTTTTATGTGAGTCTCTCATGTTACATAAGAGTATAATTTCTCATAAATTTAAATATAACTCTACCAGAAATAAATAAATAAATATAAACTATTCACGATATTCTTATATGTTGAACAAAATAACATGGAGAAATTACTGTTTGATGCTATTATAGGCATTGTTGTCAAAAATTAGCGTAAAAACTTACTAGAGTGGTGCGTGTTAAAAGGCAAGTAAAAACGGTCCTTTGTAAAAACGATATAAACTTACATTTTTACCGTTTTTACTTAAAACTAAAAATTTAATAAAAAAAATTTACAAAAAAAAATTAAAATTAAAAACCTAATTTGCATTTTCCCCAAAATCATATTCGCAGTATCTTAATATCTTTTTGTTTGGATATATGTTTTTTATAATTATGTCTTATAAAATTGTAATTCTATTATAAGTTATGCTATGAAAATCGTTTTGTGTTTTTGATTGTGTGCATTGAAAGAAGTGAAATTATATTCTGATTAGTGATGTTCCAGTGTATGAAGCAGTTAAAGAACATTACTTGTTAGCTATCACGGTTTATAATTTTGATACTATGTTATCAAAAATAATTTTCCTTTTTAAATAGATAAATGGCCCAACACACATGTTCATCATGTTATATTTTTTCACATACATGTATATAATTTTGTATCTTGACCTTAAACAATATAAGGTAGAAACTTTACATTTCGTGTCGTTTCAACATTTAATATTTCTACCACTCATTTTTGTTTTCATGTAAAAACTCGAGTTTCACAACGTTAATTATAGGCACTATATTTCTTTTTCAACGACTCACCGTGATAATGTCAGATTCTTTTTTATTTCTGCTTCAGTTCATGGGGAACTCGATTAATTCGATTTGATTTTTGTCGAATCCATATAAAAGTGACTTTCCAAAACTATTTCCTCCTTTCTAGGATTTAAATCCAAAAGAATAAATTCCATATCACTTAAACCGATGAATGCAGGTTTTGAGAATGTTATAGCGCCATATTGTAAAGCTATATCGGGTCAATAGATCTCTTTCGGGCCACAAAATTGATTAATTGAGTTTGGTCTTAGTTTGACTCACGCATATTTCCTTCACTTGGTTGTTATAGGCTTATATCAACCTAACTTCTTCAACCAAGCGGCGAGGAAGGTTCTTATTTTGAGGCTAAAACTGAATGATTAGTTCCTTGACATCTTGAAATTTGATTGCGTTATGCACTAGCAATTATGAGTTGTGTTGATCTTATTCTTGCATAAGCAGCTGTTAGAGAAGCAGAAGAACTAGATTGGTGGAATGGGACTGAGGATATAGCTATGGGAATAGCCTACTGCCAAGAGCATATGCATGAGCTGAACCCACCCCATTAAACATGCAATCTTCCTCCATATACCTGTCTGAAAATTATGCTGCCAAAATATCGGAACTTTGTTTCTGGAATGACATAGTTGCTACATGGAAGGGGTCTGCAACCACACAACTCTTGGGAACACCTTCAGCATACACAAAGAACAATGTTTATACCTTTGGGATAATATTGTTTGAGTTGGTAAGAGGTAGGAATTCCCCACGGACCATCTTCTAGCAAATTGGGCCTCCTTGTGTTTGCCAGCAATGAGAAGTGTCATGGACTACATAATGGTTCCCACATATTATGAGAAATAACGAGCTTTGTGCTTGATAGACACGTACGTGAAAGTTTATTTGCAAGGTCTACTTTTTCCAAAGGAAATCTATGAACACATTATCATCAATTCATCATCATTATTTATTTATTTTTATGAGAGCTGGAAACACAACACATTATCATTTATTATCTCTTTGGGATAGACACATAAAATAAAATATAAAATAAAACCTTTTTGTCAAGAACAATAAATTATACATTGTAGGAAACCAAAGTATGAATCTCTCTCTATAAATTATAACCCCGTCAATGTACAAGAGATGTGTAAATAGTGAGACATATTATGTGCATATGGCTCACAAGAATATGTATCATATGAATGGAGTTACAACTCTGAACATCTTCTGATGTACCCCTTAATTATCCTCCTATTCGATCATGCGAAACACATGACTCGATCTTCTGTGTCCACCATTTTCTCTAATCATCCAAGTATTGCCTCTTGGTTTTTGGTATTAACTGCTGCCACACTCTATGCCCTTCCCTTGTATCATAACAAAGGATATCTCTAAAGATGGTTGAGACTTGAGAGAAACTGCCAGCCAATTGGGATGCCCCAAAATTTTTCTAACCAAGATATCTCCACATTTTACCCTTCTGATTTATTGTTTTAAGATTAAAAGCTCAGTTTTTGAGTCCTTTGATACAGATCAAGTGTGTCTGTATGGTTAGGGTCTAAGCATAGAGCAGCCTGACAATCTTGAAAAGCAGAGGATAGGTCCCCTATTGACTCATAAAATGCTGCTCGCAGATGCAGCAGTTGCAGGTCAGGTTTGAAATTTATGGCCTTGGTGAGTTCTTCTACAGCTTCAGTTTCCTTATGTTCATCCATCATCACTGGATATATTAGACATTTTATGTAAGTAAAATCGTGATTTAACAAGTGATGTATGCCACTAATCTTGTCATTAAAGTTTTCTGAAGAAGTGCGGGTTAATTGTTGATAAGTTTAAAGCCTTGCATCAATTATCCTCTTCCAATCCACTTTTGTCTGTTGGAAAAATATGTCCTTCAAAACTGATCAGAAGTTGAAAACATAGGAGGGAATAAAATCTATCCCTAATATATTTACTAACATATTTCTGCTTTTGCATGTATTCTGCATACGACATAATGAACTACTCACTATATACACTGACAAAAAATCTTGATGCTACAAGTGGAAGAATTATAGAAGAAAAAGGTAATACTTTTGGACACAAAAACTAACCACCAAGCAATAAGTTTTCCAGTTTCTACTTCCTAGAGTTAGGTGAAGCTATTTGAGTTAATTTAAAATTATCAATGGATTTCATAATGATGAGTAATTAGTATCATCCATCAAGATGCAAGCATCAAAGAGAGGAATGTTGTGCATAGATCAACAACTTGCATGTGTTGCTACAACACACTCGTTACCGTGTACATAAAATCTTACAAAGAAATACATAAATGAAGACAAATTCACACCATTAAATTGTCAAATATTAAACCTATGTTCAACCATGAAGCATCATAAAAAAAATGCATGGGCATTTATATTTTTCTGTTGAAAATGATAGTCTATCCCTTATAAAAACTTGCCAAGGCTCTCAATCTCTATCATGTCAAGACCAACATATTATTATCTAAATCTCTGTCTCCAATCAAAACCACATGGCAGATGGTAAAGAATGAAAGATAAGTGAAGTACCTGCTGCCCTGTATCTATATGGATATGTCCTTAAAGGATCCAGTTGGGTTGCTACATCAAGATCAACCTTTGCCATGTCACGGTCACAGTATTCTGACCGTTTCTCGTATGCTGAGGCATTGCTCTCTGCCTTCTCAATTAGCTTGGTCATCTCATCATATGCAGCTTTTCGTTGATTTTTCTGATGATAAACTCGTGCTAGACCTTGATGAGCTCTTGTGTGCCTAATTGCAAGAGCATTCTTGTAGCATGCTTTTGCAAGATCAAGCTTACCACAATCCACATAAATACTCCCTAAGTTATTTAGTGCCTACAAAATATTGAAGCAGACAATCAAATGACTATTAGAATAAAGACTTGATCAGTAATAGATATAGTATCAGAGATCACTAACTTGTCCTTTGCGAAGACCATCTGAAGGACATTTAAGTGCTGCTTCCAGAAGCTGGATAACGTAAGAAGAGGATTCAGAATCCAGACTTGTATCTGCCAACACATATGCTTTTAGGAAAAAGGCTTCAAATGATCTCTGAATTGTAATGGACCTATCAGCCCTAGCCAGAGCTTCATCCCGATAGCCAGAATCATAGAGAATCCATCCTTCATAAATTAACCTTTCTTGCATTGAGCTAGAATGGTTTCTGGCCATCCTCAAACTGCGCATTGCAGCCTTTTGACAGTTTAACCTATGAAATTCACAAATGTGAGGAATTCTCTTGATATTTGTATTATATTAACTGAATTGAATTGTGCAGACTGATAAGGAAGCATTGACACACTCAAGAGAAATCCAATATCTAGATACCAGCAAGAGCATTATGGACAATAAACAATGTGATAAGCTTATCAAGCACTGACTCAAGGCCTATGGATCCAGTACAATATGCAATATGCACCATAACACTGGAAAGTTGAAGAAGAGAGATACTACCAATAGATTGGATTTGCAGATGCTTACCTCAAAAGGAGTAGAGACTGACGAAACTCCAGAAGGCTCTTACCAGGCTCATTCTCCAGCATCTGATGTATAATAGCCAAAGAACCAACATCATCTACAGAAGACCATTGTTCATATAATTGCATCCAGCATTCAGCCTGACTCTTTTGCTGTACCTCTCGGCTAAGGAGGTGAACCAAGTATTTCCCTGTGATATTCCCATGTGATGTTATATAATTTGGTTCTAAAGTTAACAATGCCCTAATATCTCTCATGGCATTGTCATAATCCTGAAGTGCAAGAAACAACCTAGCCCGCAATTCTAGGCAATCCGGGGAAAGCTTAAATCCAATAATTTTATGAAGTTCTATAATTCCAGCCTTTATCTGATTTTCCTCTGCCTTTGTCAAGGCTCTATATTTATATGGAAATGAAAGGGAGGGATCCAATTCAGTCGCAACATCCAAATCAAAGCTTTTTTCCCTTCCCATATTGTACAAAGCACGCTCCTGATACATCCACCCAGCAGGTTTGTGCTCAAATATGAGAGAACTAATTAATTTATAGGCTGAATATGGTTGACCCTGCTTGTGCTTGGTTCTGGCTACACCAGCCATAGAATACACATGACCTGCTTCAGCTGCTGCCGCAAAACAATGCTCGGCATATTTATATTCTTTCCTTTCAAGCAGCACACATCCCAATTGATGGAATGCAAGGGCCTTCTGCCATCTTTCAGCAGCACACTCCTCTAATATTTCCAGTAACATCATTGTAGTTTTAGATACCATGCTTTCCTCCGTAGCCACTTGGCTCAGGAAATAATACAGTAAGAAAGAATCGTACCCCACCACGGCCAATCTTTCCTTTGCCTCAGAACTACACAAGATTTTTATCACCTTTGAATTATACAAAGAATTTGGCAGCTCCCTAAGCAACACTTGTAAGCAGGAAGCTACAAGAAGGGGTGCTCTCTCTTCCAATCCGTAGTCAACAAGTACCAACGCATCATCAACATTTCCAACAGTTAAAGCCAAATGGGCGTCACAAGCAGATTTCATCTCCTCACAACAGAACCTATTGGCAAAGGAAAGAAGCTCCAAAACAGTCATGGGACAGAAAAGGTCCAATCTTTTAGCCCTGCTGTACACTTCCACTGCCCTCATACCCCTTGGGCATATCCTATTTTGGGTGAAATCAATCTTCCTCATTTTGGACTCTGCAAAGCCACCATATAGCATAGCCTTAAGTGGGTCAGATAGTGCTCCAATTCTCCACCTAACGCAATTAACTTCCTCATTTCCAAAGCAAAAAGAAACATCCTTTTCCTCATCTGGCAAACACACACTTTCACTTCTGGTTTCCTGTTTTGTCTCTTGGAGACAATGGCACCAATCATTGATCGAACAGGAACTAAACCCATGTACCAAATTCACCTTTGGACATTCTAGAACACACCCACCACCACAGTCCATTGAAGATACACCCAAAAGCTCATCCTCCCTCCTCTCGAACCTCAACCATGCTGAAAGCACTACCTTGGAGAGCACATCCTCGGCGTTCTGGCGCGCTGTCCTGAGACATCTTCGGAGAAGCTTCTGGTCTCCGAGGCTACGAATTAATGAGTACTTCTCCACGTACAGTGATGCTTTCTGGGATTGCGGGCAGCACTCTAGCCTGTGATACAGTTCTGCCAGGTTCTCTACGAGGTTGATGGGTTTAAGGTAAGGTTCTATGTAAGGCTCAAGGGTGTCTGCAGAAGGAAGCAGACGAGGAACAACAAGGTTTGCAACTGCTGAGGTTGATTTGTTGCTGTTGTTGGATTTGGGCTTTGAAACCAATGATCTGATAATGGTGGCACCCCCAGAGCCTTTCTTTTTTCTGCCAGTGCTTTCTGAAGAATTGAGGGCGTGAACTTGGGTGCTCTTGAAACGTTCCGTGAGCTTCAGGTCACGCATTTCTTCGATTCTTTTCAGTGGATATACACGTTGTTTTCAAGCCCTTGTGATAAAGAGCTGAACTTTAACATGTCCATAAACTAAGGGTGTTAGCCTTTGAGGAAAAGATGTTCCTTTAACCAGCTTCCAATACCCCCAGAGAGAGAGAGTACAAGTGAAGCTTCTAGCTGAAAAAGAATGACTTTTTCTTTTGGTACTTGTGTTTTACGTAGTTATTTGCAAGGAAGAGAAAGATGGGGGGTGATGCAGGCCAATGGCCTAAACTGAACTTGGTATCTTCATTTTTATTTTGCTAAGAAGGTGTTGAATTCAGGCTTTTTATATGGCGTGTGTTGGTGGGATTGAAGACTGTGACACAACACACAACAAAAGGTTGGGGTGGCAAACCAAGGAGCTTATTGTTTAGCTTATTACGATGATGTGCTCAGCTCAGACAGTACCATTAACGACTCCATTTCTCTTCCTTCACGGAAAAAGAGAAAGGGGGGGACCAGCATACAGAGACACCCTTCCAAGTAACCACTCCAATCAAGCTAGTTTGGTCAACTAATTCAGAATTACAATAGATAATTTGATAATCATATTTTGAAATTTTTATAAATTGAAATATGTTAAATTTATTGATAATAATAATTGTAAAAATTAATTCAACTCAAAGACTTTGGCGGTAATGTTATGTTAATGATTTTATATATTTTTAACACGTCTCATACAAGAGTCACATAAATGAGGAACAATGATGATTGAACCCATGATACCGAGACTATAATATTATGTAAAGAATCAATTCAACCTCATCGTGTGAGATTATATTAATGATTTTATATATCTCTAACAATAATAAATATGATTATTTATTTTTAATTTTTTCTTATTAGAAAAAAAGTTGATTGGATTACATTTTTTGAATGAATAAAAAAAATCTAGAATCAAATTATTATTATTAATATTAAATGTAATCTTAAAATTTATAAAAAAGTTAAAATATCATTAAATAAATAAAAATTATATTTCAAAAGCCCTACAAATTTAAAAATATCAAATAATAATAATAATAATAGGGTTATTAATTTCTTTTTATCCTTATTTGCAAAAATAAAAATAGAATTGAAAAAAAAGTAAAATTGTTATTATTAATAATAAATTGGATATAAAAATTTCAAAAAAATTCGCCTTTAAATTTATTTCACTTATTAACACTTTTAAAATTAATATCATTCGATGAATTTGATCAATAGAAATAAATTAATATATAATTTAGAAAATACTGTAAATTGATGATTTTTTTTTAAAAAGAAATGATTTTGATCAATCAGCCCATGTTTGCCTTGAATCTTGGAGTCGTTGAACCGCAAATTTTGGATTGAGATGGAATTGCTTGTCAAGCAACGGTGCACAAGGGGGAGAAAGTTGTGTAACCAATCCAATTATTATTTGGTTAAGCCGTCTTATCAACACCAAACAAGTCATAATCTTAAAAATAATAAAATATCTATCCTCTCCTCCACTCTCCAAATAAAGGGGCTTTGAAAATCCCACTTCTTTTTATTGTTTTCTCTTACAAAAGCTATTCACAATTTTCTTTCATTGGCGATCACTACTGTTAGAAAGTGAGTTTGTGAATGTCAAAATCATAAATGGCACAACTCCTAGGGGTAGGCTCAACGGGCTAGTTGGAGCATCTAGAGGTTTGTATCGCTCGGGGTTTGATTTTTGGATAATATAAATTTTTGAAAATATTTAGAAGTTAGAGAAAAAACAATTTCTTTTGATAGAGGGTTAATCTCATCTTTATTCTGGTGATATAACTCAATATATATGCTATTTCAACAAGGAGATAGTCTTCAAAGCTATACTACGATGATAAAATGATGAAAAGTCGAATAAAGATATCTCCAGATTCTTTTAAATAAATCATAAATGGCCCTTTTTTATTTTTGGGGAATGCCATTTCCTTTGATAAACTCACTTTTTGTATTAGTATAATTTTTTCTTTACTAACAAAGTATGAGAAATGTTATACGTATAAACTATTTTCGTTTACAACCTTTTATAATCATATCTTAACCATGGATTTCCGTCAATTAACGGTTATCATTTATTGTGAATTAATAATTAATTAATAAGTTTGATTTACAAAAATAATAACTTAAGATATGGTTGTAAAATGTTGCAAACGAAAATAGGTTGTAAGTATAGCCTTCTTCAAAAAGTATTAATAAAAGAATTTGTACTGTTGGTGGTACATAGATGTATCCCATAGAGGGTGAAGTATGTTGATATAGAGGGTGTCCACAGTGGCAATGGTAGAGACCAAGACATTAGTGAAGCTTCTCATAATGCATAAGGGAGAGTGTGTGTGAGGCTTGAATGGCTCTGCCGAGAGGCAGAGTAACAACATAGGAGAGGGGTAGAAGAGATAGATCCCCCTCCATATGTAAGGGGGGTATTTAGATAGGAGAGTCCTCTCTAGCATGGGAGAGACCGTTGGTCAGTCTCATGAGCTGTCCCATCAAGCCATGTCTTGTCCTGAGACAAAATATGTTGCCCACTGTTAGTGTACAGGGGCAGCTATGCAAGGAAGAAGAATATCCCAGTGGTGAGCCTCTATAACTTGTCATGGATGCCCTCTAGAAGGCTCTAGATCTGGGCTTTAAGAGATTGGACCCAATTGGTGAACCTAAAGTGAGTAGTATCCAGAACAGAATTCAAAAAATGTGTTTATAATATTTCATTGTATTTTATTGTAAATAAATGGTCCAATCAAGCTAAATAAAATAAAATAAATAGGGTTATATTACTCTCATATTACATGAGAGTAATATAACTTTCTACACATTAATCAATTTTTGTGACTCTTATTTTTTTAAATAAATAGTGAAACTTATCACATTATTATATCTATAACATAAGATAACATATCTTCTATAACTGATAAAATAGAGTCCACCGCGTCTCCACAATAAGTAAATTTGCCCACGTCTAAATAAAGTGCTAAAAACATATCTCAACCAAGAAGTCAATGACTGGTGGTCATGAACCTAATTATTGATGTGACAGAAAGACATTAGATCTTGCAACCTCTATATATAATCTCTTTGAACTCATAACATGAACCATATAAAAGAATGTCTCAGTAATTGGATATACATACAAAAGAATAATATCTGCTATCAACACTAGTTGGAGTTCAGGTCAAAGGAACAAAGCAAACTTGAACATAGCAAAATGAAAGGAAGAAGAATCACGTGCCTACAATCACCATGTGAGTAGTGACACCGCTGATGCATATTCTTTCTATCCACGACGCACGAACACGAATATGAGACACGACATGTCGATACGTTAATTCTAAAAAATATTATATTTTGACACGTTGATACACGTTTTGATATTAAATAAATTTTTTAATATATATAATATAATTTATATTTAATGTTTATATTTAATACATATAAGAATTCATAATAAGTCATATAACCAATTAAATATTTAAATTTCATAACATAAATATAAATATAAATAATTTTTCGTACTTTGTTAATTTTTCATGTCAAATTTCATAACAGAAAAAAATTAATTGATAAATTATCTCTTTTATATTTAATAAAATTAAGATTAAAAAAAAAATGTGTCCGAACGTGTCCGAGAGTTGATCGCGTGTCGAAAAAAGTTGACTGCGTGTCGAAAAAACGTCTCGAAGAGTTGATCACGTATCCCCAAATATTGACCGCGTGTCAGACGCGTGTCCAAACGTGTCCGACACGTAAATTTTAAAAAAAGGAGCGTGTCCGATGCTTGTTAGCTTTCTATTGTGCTGTCCCACCATGCAAACTCATCCAACTTTTGTGAAATGGTTATATTTATTTTATGTTGCATAAGACAAATAAGTTTTCTACACACACAAAGTGAAAGTGAGTTCCACATTTATTTTTTCGCTCTCCTCTTACATGTGAGTCCCATTTATAATTTTATTTTTATAATATGTGATAATCATTTTCCTACTTATAACCCAATGTGAAATTACTCAAACTAGTTTTTAGAGGTACAAAGAACCAAAATGCCACGGCTTAGAAATTTTATCGGAATGCCTCGTTTCATAATTCGTCATCAGTTCAATTTGTTACGTGTCACACGGATATAAATCTGTTTGCACACAAGGAATCCAATTGCATATATATATATATATATATATATATATTTTGAGGTTTGCATTTATCATCTAATATGACACACAAAAATTTTCTACATAGATAATATTTTGTGGGGCCTGCATTTTTTGAAGCAAAAAAAAAAAAATTAAGGCATGGAAAACGAATATTTTTTTTTTTTTTGGAGTTACCCAACCCTAATTATCTCTTTGAGACGAGTTGGCTCCCTCCGGTATCCCCACGAGCTTCGACTCTTTGAGCCGGCTATGGGACTAATCCGGAGTGCGGGAGAACAGTGATGGCTAAAGGTTCAGCCCCCTCCCCAAGAATGCATTCAGCGGGAATCGAACACATATCCAACCCCACTAACTCAGCACCAAGTTACCAACTGAGCTGCACCTATTGGGTGGAAAACGAATATTTATAACATAACACAATCACTTTTTTTACAACATAGCTCTTATAAAACCTATATTTTTTTGAATAATAAATTTTGCTGGGAGAAATATAGGGAATGTGTATCACACGCACAAAATCTGAGAAGATATCATATAAATATTCTACCATAGATTGTTTTGGTATGTGTCACATAGATAGGGACTTTCTGTAAAAAATAACAAGTCTTGAATCCATATTTTTTGTAACGGTCCCTATCCATATATGGCACATGACAATTGAAACTGTTGGAACTAATGACGGGTTCGAAACATCACAGTCTACTAAATAATTTTTTCATAAAAAGTCACATCATTTTACATTCGTATAAATTATATTTTTAATTTTGTTTGTTGATTTTACTTATATCTAAGGACTCTAATTTTTTAATAATGTGAGTCATTGGATACAAGTGGATCAATGATTAAGATTGAGTATAAGACTTCTAATTTTTTATATCGGTATAAAAATATCCTATCATTTCCATAAATAATTTCAAAAAATGTAACAAATGAATTGTTATCCAAGCTTTTA